GATGGTCAGGATATTCAGAGATTTAATATTCCATTTGGATTAGGCACTATGACAATCTAAAGTAGGTTGTAGGGTATAGTAATAAAATTGTTAATTCAGCCAATCAAAACTTAGCCTTTAATAGCTATGAATTCTCTGCTCTCAGTTGACTCTTTGATCTGTTTTACATGTGTCACTGTACTTCAGTGGATCACAGCTAAAGATGACACATTCAGGACAAATTGTTGAGAAGTAGGGCAAACTCAAATCAACCTAGTGGTTATTCTGTCATTAGATTACTTTTGTTACTGGCTTGGTATAAACTTCTGTATCCTCTTAAGAGTTAATCATAGAATCATAGGACTGGAAGGGACCTCGAGAGGTCATCGAGTCCAGCCCCCCGCCCTCAAGACAGGACCAAGCTCCGTCTACACCATCCCTGACAGATGTCTATCTAACCTGTTCTTAAATATCTCCAGAGAGGGAGATTCCACCACCTCCCTTGGCAATTTATTCCAATATTTGACCACCCTGACAGTTAGGAATTTTTTCCTAATGTCCAATCTAAACCTCCCCTGCTGCATTTTAAGCCCATTACTCCTTGTCCTGTCCTCAGAAACCAAGAGGAACACATTTTCTCCTTCCTCCTTGTGACACCCTTTTAGATATTTGAAAACCGCTATCATGTCCCCCCTTAATCTACTTTTTTCCAAACTAAACAAGCTCAGTTCATGAAGCCTGGCTTCATAGGTCATGTTCTCTAAACCTTTAATCATTCTTGTCGCTTTTCTCTGTACCCTTTCCAATTTCTCCACATCTTTCTTGAAACGTGGCGCCCAGAACTGGACACAGTACTCCAACTGAGGCCTAACTAGCGCAGAGTAGAGCGGCAGAATGACTTCACGAGTTTTGCTTACAACACACCTGTTGATACAACCTAGAATCATATTTGCTTTTTTTGCAACAGCATCACACTGTTGACTCATATTCAACTTGTGGTCCACTATGACCCCTAGATCCCTTTCCGCCATGCTCCTTCCTAGACAGTCGCTTCCCATCTTGTATGTATGGAACTGATTGTTCCTTCCTAAGTGGAACACTTTGCATTTCTCTTTATTAAACTTCATCCTGTTTACCTCTGACCATTTCTCTAACTTGCTAAGGTCATTTTGAATTATGTCCCTATCCTCCAAAGAAGTCGCAACCCCACCCAGTTTGGTATCATCTGCAAACTTAATAAGCGTACTCTCTATCCCAATATCTACATCATTGATGAAGATATTGAACAGTACGGGTCCCAAAACAGACCCTTGAGGAACTCCACTTGCTATCCCTTTCCAGCAGGATTTAGAACCGTTAACAACAACTCTCTGACTACGGTTATCCAGCCAATTATGCACCCACCTTATCGTGGCCCTATCTAAGTTATATTTGCCTAGTTTATCAATAAGAATATCATGTGAGACCGTATCAAATGCCTTACTAAAGTCTAGGTATATGACGTCCACCGCTTCTCCCTTATCCACAAGGCTCGTTATCTTATCAAAGAAAGCTATCAGATAATAAGAAGCTAAAGATGCAGTCTCCATAGGCTTTGCAGCCCTTGTCTCATCATATGGACACTGGGCTCTGAAGGCATGTTTATACAGCAGGGCAAAAGTCAAATTAAGCTACGCAACTTCAGCTATGTCAATTGTGTAGCTGAAGTTGAAATAGCTTAATTTGGCTTTTGGCGCTGTCTACATAGCAGTAAGTTGAAGGAAGAACACTCTTCCTTTGACTTCCCTTACTCATAAAATGACGGTTACAGGAGTCAGAGTATGAAGTCTTCCAGCTTCCTATTACTTTGGAAAAAATGGCTTTCTGTGTAGATGCACTTTTTATTTCAAAATATTCAGGAACAACACTGCTGTGTAGAGAGAGGTTTTCAGAAACCACTCAGCCTATTTAATCAAACATTCAATTTTTAATCCCACAAGAGGAGCCACATCAATATATAACCCAGCTTTTACCCAATAATCATGCCAATGCTTTTACCCAATGCTTTTATCTAATAATCATGCCAGTCTTTTAGGTTTAATAACAAAAGAAATAAGAGAGTTTAAAAACAGTTAATAAATTTATCTATAAATAAATAATTGTAAAGTTCTTTTTATCAGGTTAGTAGCAGTGATTAAATAGATTGCTGGGTTGTAAAATCTTTCTGCTAACTTCCAAAAGATTGGAACATCCTCAATTTATAGTTCAAAATGTTCCTGTTGTAAATTGATAGTCCAGAGATTCAAGGCATGAAAGAGGCAAAATGGAGATATCTCAGGGATTCTTTTATTTTTTGCCATCTACTTGGAAATGTACTGTGCCCAAAAAAGCCCATAGCTCTGGCATATGGAAAGTTGGAGTGATGGAGACCAGAGTTACATGAACATATGACATGTTCTAACATGCTTTTACTCATGAGGCAACTATTGCCCATATTCTTGCTGAGGCCAACCAAAGAAAGAGCTGTCTGCGCAGAATGAGTTTCTTCTAAGACCCATTGAGAGAGTGAAATGTCATTGATGGGCCATCAACTCCTAGCTGTTTGGCCTTTGTCAGTTTTACCTTGTGAGTGTTGTCCAGGAATATAGCGTGTGTGTGATGCCAGTACATAGCCAATATTGGTAACTTCAGATATGAAAATGAAACAAGTATATCTACAGGCTAATCATACTTAGCAAATTATAACTTTTTTCCATTGACACCTTACATGACATACTTTTGCACAAGACTTGTAGCTATTGCACAGCAATTGGCAGTACAGGCAGTCCCCGGGTTACGTACAAGATAGGGACTGTAGGTTTGTTCTTAAGTTGAATCTGTATGTAAGTCAGAACTGGCGTCAAGATTCACCCACTGTTGAAACTGATCAGCTTCAGCAGCGGCCGAATCTGGACGCCAGTTCCGACTTACATACAGATTCAACTTAAGAACAAACCTACAGTCCCTATCTTGTACGTAACCCGGGGACTGCCTGTA